CCCAACATTGGTCGAACGAAAGTCTTCCCAGGTCTTTAGGCGTGTACGTTTGTTTGATGTATTGTACAAGAATCACCCGGGGTGAGATGTTCCAAGTGGTTAGAAGGCTAATTTATTGATTGAAAGGTCCGTGGTTCGAACCCGACCCGCTCTGCCTCTCGACTTCCCCTGTCTAGGCTTGGGCAAACTGGCAGTATCCCAGCCCTCGTGCAACCTTCGGCTGGCATGGCAGCCAGGCACCGAAAGGGTGTTCACTGGCCCAAAGAGGTCACCATGCTTGTTTATCCTTGTATACAATTGGTTTATTTAGATGAGATGGCTCTGGGATTAGCAAACGCTACTTTCCAGGAGGCTCCAGATAGCTTTGCGGATAAGCCGGGAGCTGATGACAGCAAAATCAAGCCGCACTGACTGTCTGGCTGCTCTTTTTCTAAGTTTGACAAAGAGGTGTGACGTTTCTGGCCTAGTGCGTCTTCTATGTTGCAGTGGAGCTCTGCACCCAAGTGCTGATTGAACGATTTCTTCATTTCGTTCACATTACCAGCCACAAATTGTTCGAAACTAAGGGGAGCTGCTTCGCACATATCAGCATTTTCGCTTGTTTTCTCCTAGGAGGGATCACATTTCAAGTCGGTCCTTCCAGAGAAACAACTGTTATGTGTGTAATAATTCACACCTTGCAGAATTACAGATGTCAATTACGACTCTTTTTTGAAAACGGGCCTGAATTCAGTGCCTATAACCGTGATATCAACAATCAGCTTGATCGTACTGGCCGCCGTCCACATCCCATAGACTGGACCCATCAACCAACACACCCTATCAGTTTTCGCTCATTCATCACCATCATTACAAGCGGTACCAGATGAGAACACTGCCACTGCTTCACTGCCATGCAACTCTGTCAATTTATTTGAATAAGGCCTCATAAGAGAAGCAATAAGGATAGAGTGCAGGGAGGGGTTCCACAAACAACCAAGATGCGTACATCTCCAGTCATACAATCTGTATAGAAACTGACAACACGAACGCCACTGACATCGGTTTGCCGGCAAATTGTCCAACGTCTCCAGCCAAGCACAGATAGGGTCGCGTGGACCTTATTCTGGAAGGGTAGCAGCGCCAAATTTCTCCGTGACATCCTTTCCCTCCTATCATGTCAAATTCTGTCCGCCCCTAGATTTCCGTCACTCTGAATTAAGCGCTTGTCTCGGCAGGCAGTGAGTCAACACCTTAGCTAGCAATGCTGGATGCATTCATCTGCTTCACCTCATTGCGAGCTTCGTGATTCCAGCCGATTCCAGCTGCGGTTCTGAGGCGTCGCTGGTCAAAGAACTGGAGTTGTTTCAGATCTTCCGCCCAAAGTGACCGAGTCTCGCAGCTGTAGAACAATACCGCCCGCACTCTATGCACGTCATTTGGAACCCAGGGATAGGACTTTTTGATGCAACATGTGGCGCGAAAGCAATTGTGGTCTTCGACATTTTCGTTCGTCACCTTATTGCCACAATTAATGCAACTTCCCAGATATACATAGCGTCACACAACTTCCAGTGGTACTCCCCAAGTACTCAGAGACATGTTCCAAGACCGTAGATCCCGAGTATGGCTTGGCACGCGCAGAAGGACTGGATGGTCTCAATTGACTTTTCCAATAATGTTTGCGTTTTCCATTCTTTAAGAAATAAGGTCATTGTCAGCTGCATATTCCAGGTCGGCAATCAATCATTCAGTTTATTGGCTATAAATCGTGTACCATGGATACACTAGTTCCAACTGCTGCCGTTTTGCTCACCGGAAAGTAGGACTGTGGAACATCCCGTCAAGAATTGGAGACGGTGGCATGTCCAGTTAGTTCGGGTATTGGTGGTGCACGAGTGCCACTGACTGCGCGATTGAGCCGTTTCTGCCAGTGTCATTAACAATGTGTGAGTTGAGTCCCGGGGGAGTCGGAATTGTCAGTCCGACTCAGTTTGATGGTTAGTGTTTTCACACTTGGTTGTCAAGTCAAACACTACACCACTTGGTCCCTTCTAGTCAGCACAGGGCTTGGCAAAAATGGCTCTGCGAGACAGGTGGACTTCTAGCATACGGATTACATGTCTCAACGAGCGTAACCTATCAAGCATGAGCAGTTCATCTATCGCGGGAGAGTTCCTTCTTCCTTAAACCATCAAACGAGATGGCTCAGTGGTTAGAGCGCGAATTTACTGATCGGAAGGTCTGTAGTTCGAACTCGACCTCTGAATCTCCACTCCTCCTGTCTAGGTTTGGGCAACCTGAAAGTATCCTAGCCCTCGTGCTTCCTTCGGGTGGCATAGCAGCTAGACACCGATAGGTTTTTACTGCTAATCGATTACCTTTATATGTTTTCAATAAACCTACTTGGCGTACCTCAGCATCACCAATCTCACAGGGTTCTCACTTAAAGGGTTCTAAACACCTGGGTTTTGGAAAACTCCCGGTGTTCGTGCACTGCCTGTTTTCAACTCAACTGTGAGCTCATTGTCGCTCGCACAAGCCAAGTTAACGTTTGTTTGTGGGAACGCCAGGCCACATCTCCTTTTTAATAGAACTCAGTGTGTGGATATCATCGACACATGAATTCATGGAATTCACGAACGTGAAACAGTTCCTCCTAGGTTAGGTCAAGCATAGACAGGTTTTCAAACTTGCGGGTGAGTGACGATCGCGATGTTTATGTACAAATTATCATTGCCGTTATAGAATTTCCCTAACTGGTTCACTCAACTGTGATAGGCATGCTTTGCCACAAACACACAGTAGTTTCTAATGCCGTCTCTGCTATTTCTTTCCCATCGTGTGTGATTTGACACTTGTCCCACGCAAACTGCGTGTTGCGTTGAATGTGGATGGAAAGTCTATACACATTAGCGCGTGTTCAGTGCGTGACCGATAGCAACAGCTTTCCCGAGAATTAGCCTTGGATACGACCGGTTTTCAAGTTTTCTGGTTTTGGACAATCGAAAGCACACAGCAAGACCTGGATGATCGATGCGACCGGAAGAGTGTATTTCGTACAGTTCAATGTGCGACTAATTGCCGTGTTTCTCGATTAATATTTCTCCTAAGTAACAGCTTTTGCCCTACATGGACTACTTTCTCAAAATCAGGGAATGAGAATACTGCCCGGCGTGGAAGTTTTATCTAGCTGTGGCGGAAATGCCAAGTCCGGTTGTGTTCATTATCCATGGTTGCATGTTTCCGATACTGATTAGTGGCACTGATTGCTGAAGGTTTCGTACAAAAGGACAATTCCATGGTTTTTATAATGCACTACTCATAAGGTTGCTGAAAACTCCTCGACAGCACATGACCGGTTCCGCCCTTGTTGGGGCTCATCAGGTAGACGCAGTCCCCGAGTTTCCATCAACCTTATGTTTTGCTTGAAACCGAATTGCACGAAATTAGCGAATATATACTCATTTGGAAATTAATTTTGGTTTTTCGAGGGACTCACCTGGAACCCAGCTGAATGTCTCGGTTTTTGATGTTTCCAGGCAACTGAGTATGCTGCACGAGGCCGCCTCATGTTTCAGTCGCTACGATATTCCAGATATTGCGATGCATATATATTTTTGTAATGCACTACTCATAAGGTTGCTGAAAACTCCTCGACAGCCCACGACCGGCTTCGCCCTTCTTGGGGCTCATCAGTTAGGCGCAGTCCCCGAGTTCCCGTCAACCTTATGGTCTACTTAAAACCTGGAAACATCAAAACCGAGAGATTCATCCAGGTTCCAGGTGAGTCTCTCGAAAAACCACGTGAGTATATATTCGCTAATTCCATGATTGATCCTTACTTTACAGAAACTGTCTCCCAGGACAAGATTAGTGGGCCTCACAAATGCCTCGTGCCATTGTTGCCGATGTTCTATCTATTGTGATGACTTAGTGTTTGGCTTCACACTACTTGTGAGCTAATTCGGTCGATGGTGCCCCAGTTATGCTGTAGTTGCCTAGCTCCTTTGTTGATCACGTTAGCAGTTTACTGAAGGTAAATCCCGCGTGCTCGTGGCAAAATTTACAGCGTTTCTTCAGCACAGAAGATAGAAGGCTAGTTGCTTGTTGATGACAGCCGAGCTACATATGGGCTGGTTGTAACTCGATTGTTTTACCACACACACATGTTTATTTAAGCCTAATGACCCCAGTTTTCGGTTGATTGATGCCTGTTATGTCTCTGAGCCGGATCTCATCATCTTCCGTATCCTGTGGTTCTTGTGTCTACATTCTAATGCAGCTTTGTGAATGCCTCGGTTTGAGTCCACCCATGAATGACCGTCTGTAGTTGGACTTTCGAATGGCATTCCATTGTGTTAACCTATTTTAGTCAGGTTACTTGTTCACAAGTTGCTGTTGTGAAGTCATCGGACACTGCTTTACAAGGCTGTTGCTTCGCGCATTCCTGTTGTCCCGTATCTACATGAAAACCTTGTGTTGCCCCATGTTTTGTGCAGTAAGGAAGCTAGAACAAGTTGTTTAGACGATAGGCGCTCCGACTTTCATGAAACTGAATGCTGCCTAACACGCACAAGTTTCGCTTTTCTTCTGTTTGTTGCCCATCCCCAGTGAGTGCGTGCAGTGTAGGAGGATAGAGGACTGTTGATCGTAGTGTGCGGGCAGACGTTCGTAGCAGGTAGCCTTTTGCCGGGTCTCTTACGATCTGGTTTCAGCTCCGATTGTCGCTTACTCTGCCTATGTATGGATTTTTACTGTCTTGATCACTTAGCTTGTCCGTTGGGGGCGAGATGGCCCAAGTTGTTAGAGCGCGAATTTACTGACCAGAAGGTCCGTGTTTCGAACCCGACCTCTGACTCTCGACTTCCCCTGTCTAGGTTTGGGCAACCTGGCAGTATCGCATCCCTCGTCCAACCTTCGCGTGGCATGGCAGCTAGGCACCTTAGGGATGCTACAGCTGAATGATTTTTATTCTTGGCTTGTCCGTTGGCAGTGTTAGAATCTTGATCTCAACTTTCACTGAAATGCTTTGTCAGCAGAACTGAGGATGGATGATGGGCCATGTCTCCCAGACTGCTTTCCAATAACATGGTCGAAGATGCATTCTGTTGGAGTCGGGTGTACATTATGGAAAGCCACGAGGGTACTTCTAGACATACCACTGATTCCCTGTAAACGGGGATTAACTGCTTTGAATTATCTCGAGTTGACCGATGAATCACGTGATGTGTCATTTGTTAGCAAATTTACTCAGTTTAGGATAGCCACCATATTCGCGGATGGTGATCACACCGACTATTCGAGCTCACTGACCCAACAGCTACTGATCACCAAGGGTGTGCAAGTTGTGCTCTGTGCGCCCCACTGTCTCTCCGGTAGGGTTTATAGTCGCAAGCTAACAACATCACACTGGACTACAGCCAATCGATGTCGAACACCAAACTCCATGGAATCGCCGTAGAAATACCACCGGTATCGGTATTTCTTCTTGTATTCATAGACACCAGAAAGTTTGACCAAATGATTATCTGTCCACACATGCTGCGTGAACCCAACCGACCGATCTACGATAAGCACCTTCTAAGGGCATGCCGTTTTACAATAACATGAACTTTAATAATATTAGGACAACAAAAGAGAAAAAGATAGTCATTCAGCTGTAACGCCCTCTCGGTGCGTAGCTGTCATGCCACCCAAGTGGAGCACGAGGGCTGGAATACTGTCAGGTTGGCCAAGCCTAGACAGGAGAAGTCGAGAGGCCGAACGGGTCGGGTTCGAACCACGGACCTTGCGGTCAGTAAACTCGCGCTCTAAACACTTGAGCCATCTCGCCCCAAACTTTAATAATATTAGTAGTAATAATCGTCTAACTGTAGCACCCCTCCGGTGTCCAATTAACATGCCATCCGAAAGAACTGCGAGGTCTGAGACATTGTCCGGAGAAGTGGAGATTCAGAGGTTGGGTTTGAACCGGGACCTTCACTGAGCTACCTCAGGGGCTCGATGTACACATCCTTATCCAGTAGAGGCTTCTCCATTGCGCCATTCATTTTCCACCTCATGTGCCGCCTCCCAGCTCAAACCGTGATAATGTTGACGCTCCCTAAAGCTGCGTCACACGTCATTCTATTTCTTCGGGTTGTTTCATTTCATCTTGTTGTTAACGTGAGAGTCAACTGAATATCAGCCGATGCTATCACTTGTGATAGTGATAAGTTGTGTGGGAACGGAATTCACATCTATTTTCGGTAACCTTTCATGCGAGCTGTGTATGCGTGAAGGCGAAAACGCGCGTTGCTTATTTCTTGTTGTCATTTCGTGGTTGTTTTGAAACCCCATGGGCGTGGTTCCAGTGGACTGTGCGGTTTGTATTATTCGCTGTGTTGTATGAGTTGATGCCGCGAACACTTGTCACCGTTCAGACACTGTGTGGTCCTTGGTCAATTTGACGGTTGGTCACACAATCTTCTTAGTTCTGTTGTGTTCCTCTCCAACGTTTACTTCAAACCGTTCATCCGCACTTGGAGAGTTTACGGCCGGGACATGCTCTCTGTTTTTCTCGGTCATTGATCAATCATTTACTACTCAAGTGTCGAACTGGGCGAAGAATCGGGAATGCGGCCAGCCTTTTGATATTCCATAACGGTTTCGACACCTGAATTCCAAATCGTAGTCGTTCCCGGATTTCGCCGAGATAAGCACACTATCGGCCACTATGCTTATGCACACTAAGGTCAGTCGAAAAGCATTCATTTCTCTTTGGGTTGCCGCGGCCGTATTCGAATTGGATATCGCGTGTTGGTGCTAGTTCGTCGGCGTTCTTACTCTGGATGTCTCTGAAATGCTCAGCAGGGTTCAGAGGAGGACGAGCTTTTTACAAAGTGATGGCAAGATTTAGGTTCACGATGTGCCTGTCATACTTGCGACTCGATCTTCTGATGCTCACACTCTCCTTTAGCGATATCCTGCGATACTCCACCTGGCTCAGATTTGTGTAGAGTCAATTCCAATGGCAAAAACTAAAATTACTCGGCAAAGATCAGGTTTGTTGGTACTATTACAAAGTTTGTGGGCTACTTGTTATTAACAGGCCGTCGTGGGTCCACGCAAAGCTTAGTGTGTGTGTATAAACACCGCCTGGTTGAACATTTTTCCATTCCTGTCCTCATTACGGATTCGCCGATACCAACCCACACGAGCTATGGTTCTGAGACAACGATTGTCGAACACCTGAAGACATCTCAGTTCCGCTGCTTGAATATGCCTAGTCTCACAGCCATACAACAAAACAGCCCGCACTGTGACTTGATACACACGTTCTTGACTTGATAGGTGCCTCAAATTAGCAAACGCGACCAGGACCTTGGCGATTCGTGCTTCTATCACACTACAATCAGATCTAGTACAAATTCCATGGTAAGTAAAACGCTCCACAATTTCGAGTACCCCCTCCTGAATTGTAGTCTGTCAAATGAGGGACAGCCCGACTTATAGCGTATAGACTTAGTGTTATGCCATGTGTTCACTGCCGGTGCCTTTTCGGTTTTTTTCGGTGGATAAATTTGAAGATTCATTTTTCGACCCAAAACCCGTTGGTGTCACATCTGGCTACGGTGCTATTCCATTGAACTGTGTTTTGCAAGAACATCTACACTCTCTTCATGTCCTTGTGGTTTTCTGTTCGCTTGTGTTTTACAGCTGTACATGTATCAACTACTCCGAAGTCTCGCCTACATTCACCACAAAGGCATATGCCATCGGGACATCAAACCACAGAACCTGCTCCTCAATCCATCCACGGCCGTTCTTAAACTCTGTGATTTTGGCAGGTAAGTCTTCTGGTGTCTGTGAATCCCCCCGGTCGGTACGCAATCTGTGTTTTCTCTCTTTCTCTATGTACTCTTAGCAATACATATTCACATGTTCTCGGAACAGGGCGGAGACTTGGATTCAATCGTTTATTTGAACCACACCGTGGACACTCCCAAGTATCAGGCCAACAACGGCGTTGCCAGTGGTGTTCTGTCCCCAGACGGGTCACTGGCTCAGTGGTTAGAGTGCGAATTTACTGACCGGAAGGTCTGTGGTTCGAACCCGACCCACTCCGCCTGTCGACTTGCCTATCTAGGCTTGGACGACCTGGAAGTATCCCAGCCCTCGTGCAACCTTCGGGTAGCATGGCAGCTTGGCAACGAAAGGGCGCTATAGCTGAACGATTTTTCTAGACTTGCTTCTAAGCAGCATACAATTCATCGGTCGGATGTCGGCAGTTTGCCAAACAAAAATCTCGTCAGGATGGGCGCGGCACAAAGTGTGCCCACTTGTGAGGCTTTATGTTCACATTGTCTGTGAAGCCTGCAAACAGCTGGGTTCTTATCATCAACTTTTACCAGCTGTTCCTCTCTCATTGTTGGATTTGTGTGTGTGTGTGTGGGAATTTTGGTATTCCGATTCTCTTACGCATCTGTCTCGAATGTTCGCCTATCGATCCGCCATTAGCTGTTCGCACATTGTCGCTATCGGTTTTCACCTCCGTCTAGCAACTAATTGCCGCTGACGGCACGCAATTCCTGTAGTGCTTTGCATTTGTTTTACGTCACAACGCACTACGATGTCGACCACCAACAGGTCCGTCTTCACTACGCGGGCATTTCAACCTGAATTCGAGGGAAACCGATGGTTGCAGGAAGCGTACCCAACTGCGTGGTCGCTGCGTGTGCACACGTCTAAATACGCTCAGATAGAATCGGCTGGTTTCGAAACGAAAGTGTTCTATTTATTATACTGCGTAGAAGAAGCAACAGAGATTGAATGTTTGTATTCCCGAGGATCTTGTCCAAATATCTTTCATTTTTAAGACCGAAAGGAGTGTCTCCACTTTATATATATTGGTGGTCGATTTCCTCTCAAGTCGCTTTAAACAGGACGCATGGAAAACCCGAAATTGACTGCGCGCGCAGCACTGACCACTTAATCGTGACCCCCCCTCCTAATCAGCTGATCGAGTGACTGTGTGACCTAACGGTGGAATACTAGAAGTACAAGGTCAGAATACAACGACAACTGTGTGTATGCTTGTAGAGGATGGTTTTAAGAATGTGAATACATCAACCAGCATACGAAAAGACTTCGGGTTTCGTCCTTCGAATGGTGTCAACTATGCCGGTCAGCGGAGGAGCCCTTTGCACCTGGTTCATCCTTATTGGAAATTATCGGCAATGTGCGATCCCATGAATCTCCAGGGCGAGATGGCCCAAGTGGTTAGAGCACGAATTTACTGACCGAAAGGTCCGTGGTTTGAACCCGACCCGCTCTGCCTCTCGACTTCCCCTGTCTAGGCTTGGGCAAACTGACAGTATCCCAGCCCTCGTGCAACCTTCGGGTGGCATGGCAGCTTGGCAACGAAAGGGCGCTATAGCTGAACGATTTTTCTAGACTGATTGAGAGTGTATAGTCGCCGGACATATCGTTGGCACAAGTTTCACAGAATGTCTAAGACCGCTCGGCAAGGAGAACATCAGCGCTTGATTTACGTTTACCCCAGAAGTGGCTATTCTAACCGATGTTATGCACCCCATTTGGGTTTGGGGCAAGCTAAGAAAAGTCCAACAGAAGCGTTTTAGATACCAGAGTGTATACCTTGTGACCTGGATGAGAAATCAGCTGAGCATCAATCCGCCAACTGACAGGGGGATAACAGACACCTGTTTTTATGTGCTTAGTTACGAGATTCGCTATTACTGTGGTCAAAGCGCGAACTCAATGACCGAAAGGTCCGGGGTGCGAATCCAGTCCCGCCATCTGAACTGCTTCTCTCTGGCAGTATTTCAACCCTTGCACTTCCTTCAGATGGCATGGCAACTAGGCGCCGAAAAGTTGCTACAGCTGATCGATCGCTCATTTGATTATGTGCGTATTGAGGTCTGTTGAGGCGAGTGCAATCGAAGTGGCTTTTGTTGACGGAACACAGTACCCATAGGGTTGCTGAAAAATTTTCGACACCCGGCAATCACTTTCGTTCCTTTTGGGTCTCATCAGGTAGGCGCAGTTCTCGAGTTTTCGCCAACCTTGTGGTCTCATTGAACGTAGAATCAACGTGATTCGCGAAACACACTCATCTGCAGACCAAGCGAGTTTTCAAGGGAGACGCAACCGGATCCCTCTCAATTTCATGTGTCGCAAGCCTCTTGTTTCTCTCGGGACAATATTTGAGATATCTGAGTATGGCTTTCTGACGGAACACACTACTCAAGTGGGCTTTTGTCTTCAGTTGCAAACGTTCTGTGAAAAAAAACGAGGGAATAGGATGAAGGAAGTGTTTGGAAAGGAACGGTAGTGAAGAACTGCGCATAGTTTCAAAGAAAAACGGAAACAGTAAAGAGCGTCACATTAGTTACCTAGACAGACAACCCAAGTGAAGATCAATTTGAATGATGGACGATTGATGAATCGAATAACCCTGGACACTTTCGTGACATGGATTATACTTCCTTCACTTTGATATTTGTGTTTTCAAAAGTCGCAGTAAGTTTGGTGCAAATCCCACGGAAATCGCGCCAAATCGGATCATTTCTTGCTATCGAGGGGGGAATGCTGTTGTGGATGGCCGTTATTCTATTGGCTGAGCTGGGCAGCCAACAGAACAACACCCCCAGAGAGATGGCTGTATCCATCGTATTGTTCGACCAGTCAGTTTTTGATTTCTAAAGTAGTAAAGTACAATACTCCTCTCCGCCCCACCCCCGGTCTGAAACAACCTCTTCTTTGGTAGCCTCATTATCCAATCGATCGGAATGATTCTCACACAGACGTACTTCACCAATTCCTTTGCGGTTTTAGTCGGTTTCAAACTGAATGATTTTGAAAGGGATTGAAAACCTACGTTTCCCCGCAACGGTCGGATCGGGGACTGAGTTACAACAGCGTCGTCCGAAGATAGTAAACTTCAAGTGCAGAGAGGTCCTAGTTTGTAAGCTGAAGAACAGAAAAGTCGAAGATTTTTGGCACGGAAAACACAAGACCCGGGTTATGTATGTGTGCGCATGTGGAACGGGCATTGCTATGGGAACCATCATGGTGATTTTTTTTGCATCTCACCGCAGTTTCTCTGATGTTAGTCACTGGACCATTTGTACTTGTTTCTCCCTTGTTTTATTTCCTCAGAGTCATCCGGACACGCACTTCTAATCAGATAGCAATGTTTCAACAATGTGTACTTTTCAGATATAGCGTGCTTCAGCATCTAAGGTGTGTTTATGTTGGCAACCGGTTCAAGTTGTCCTTTCTCGTTTCCACATGTGATTCGTAACATACAGTGTGAGTACTAATCATGTGGCATTGAATCATTGTTCGATTCAACGCGGAACGATTGCGGTAATTCTGACCAACTTTCAAATTTCCGCAGTAGGCCTTGCAGCAACGAGCTTCCTTTTTGAGGCATTTAATCTCCTAAACTTGATAATATCTATCAAATCTCCTAAACCTGATAATATCAATAATAATAATAATAATATAAATAAATAAATAACTGAGGCACTACTATCATTAGGGACGAGATGGTCCATGTGGTTAGAGCGCGAATTAACTGATCGGAAGGTCCGTGGTTTGAACCCGACCCGCTCTGCCTCTCGACTTGCCCTGTCTAGGCTTGGGCAACCTGGCAGTATCCCAGCTGTCGTGCAACCTTCGGGTGGCATGGCAGTTAGACACCGAAAGGGTAGTACAACTAGTCTCTAAATCGAGTTCCATATACAACTGTGCAACTGAAACTGAAGGGAACAGGCTGGACAGAACAGGAACTTGCTAACGGTGGCAGACCTATCAAAGTGATCCGTGTACATCGAAGGAATAAGCCAAGCCGACCAAAGTTGTTCTGAGACCAACCATCCATTCAGGCAATCAGAAAGGACATCAGAGGTGTGATGTGTCCCATTATTCCAGTGTTCGTTTGGCTTCCAGAATTAGGCGTATGTAATCTCTGTACAGTTTGGAGCTGCTCATTTATCTGGACGCCGTTTGGATGGGTGTATCCACCAAGCACCAGCTTGTGGTGTTGCCCTAGTTGGTGAAGAATACAGTCTATGCCCACCTCCTTCGTGAGTAATAGAACCGGTCGCAACATTTCCTATCTCTTATGACGCGACGGAACTGAGCGATAATGCCGAATGATCGGATTACAGTAAGGCGGAGTCGGTTGAACTATCTTGTATTGGGGAGGGGGGGGGGGGTTGAACCCGTTTTAGACCTGTCAGGTGGTTGTGACTGTAAAACTACCCTTCCACGCTGTCGCCTGACGCTTCACATTGGATTTTCATTAGCTGATGGTTCCTTGCTGGTGGTAAATGCCGGTCATCTCTCATAGAGGGTGAATTTTATGGAATCTCGTGGTGAGACAACGTTAGCTATCTGTTTCACGGTATGGCTGAAATTGTGACCAGATGATTGAACAGATCAGCTGATAGCCGCATTAATTCGGTCGTTACCTCAGTGGTTATGCTTGACCGGTGTCGGCCAATTTCCGAATGTTTCGGCTATTGATGGAGCCTGGTTGGTTAGTTTAACACATCGGGCTATTTTTTTCAACTTATGGGGAGGAAATACCTCAGCAGACTTTCTGAGGCAGTGATATAGACGTTGTTCGCTTAGCTGTAACACCTTTCCGGTGCCTAGCTGCCATGCTACCCGAAGGAAGCACGAGGGCTGAGATACTGCCAGGTTGCCCAAGCCTAGACAGGGGAAGTCGAGAGGCGGAGGTCGGATTCAAACCACGGACCTTCCTATCAGTGAATTCGCGCTCTAACCACTTGAGCCATCTCACCCCCGAGTAGAAGCCACGTGTAAAAGAAGCCAGGTACTTCCTTTCCTGGTTATCTCCTTTTGGAGGGTGGAGGAGTCACTGTGTACCTTAAAGGTTACACCACTACCTGAGGAATTCTGCCAACTTTGTCCTCACCTGCTGTCCATGTTTCGGTCTATCTCTACGCTTGGTCACCTCTGCTGCGAGTCTTCAGCAAACCAACATGTTGTATTTCATTCGTTCCATACTATGCACACTCAACCCTAGTTTTATTGATAAAACTTAGGCTGAGTAGTTATGTCTCTATTTGACAATGTTCCATTTTCTCTTTACCAATGCTTATCAGTGCCAAAGTGCTCGTTCGTGGAGAACCTAACGTGTCCTACATATGTTCACGCTACTATCGTGCGCCCGAGTTAATCTTTGGTGCTGTGGAGTACACATGTCAAATTGGTGAGTACTTTTTTTTCAAACTTTGGTGCACGAATTCCTCTGCCACTGTCGATGACGGGGGGGGGATTGACGTCTGACTCTACTACCTCACTGTTGTCTGTGAAAACTAAGCTCAGCTTACTCATTTTGAACACTTTTTTGACTTGCTTGTAAACTGCAACGATTTCCAAGGTCACAAATGTGGAATATGCCATCCGTATTCGTGACTGACACATCGCATCGCATATTAATNTGACAATGTTCCATTTTCTCTTTACCAATGCTTATCAGTGCCAAAGTGCTCGTTCGTGGAGAACCTAACGTGTCCTACATATGTTCACGCTACTATCGTGCGCCCGAGTTAATCTTTGGTGCTGTGGAGTACACATGTCAAATTGGTGAGTACTTTTTTTTCAAACTTTGGTGCACGAATTCCTCTGCCACTGTCGATGAGGGGGGGGGATTGACGTCTGACTCTACTACCTCACTGTTGTCTGTGAAAACTAAGCTTAGCTTACTCATTTTTAACACTTTTTTGACGATAACTTGCTTGTAAACTGCAACGATTTCCAAGGTCACAAATGTGGAATATGCCATCCGTATTCGTGACTGACACATCGCATCGCATATTAATGTCCCCCAAAGATTTCCGTCGCACGTGATTGCCATTCGCAGAATTAATTTGCGTTCTTCACCTTCTTTAATCACGTGCAGTTCGTTAGAGTCACTGTTCGATGTTGCGCAGGCTACTCACTAGGACCGTGTAATCAGTTATTCGCTTATTTCGAAGATTGAAACTAGGTGTACAATCCTCCTCTGTTACTCAGATCTCACGGTTTTTGGGTTATCAACCGTAACAACCTTTTTGTATCTAGCAGCCATGCCATCCGAAGGAAGCACCAGGGATGAGGGACTGTCAGTGTAACATGTGAACGGTATCTTCGAGTGACGCGTAATGCCAGAAACTCCGGGTAGGCAAAACAAAGTCGGAGCTGGGTTTCTATACGGTACTATTAGGGTAAGAGAAATTCACAAATTATACAAACCTCGACAGTAGATACGCGTCCAAAACAAACGGTCTACTTGGACTTCAAAAATACAAACTAAGGGAGCAAACAGGCTCCCACTTGCGACAGTCACATGTGCAAGTTCAGCTACAAATGGCCGGATGACCTCAAGGCCAAATGGGTGAAGTGATAAGGACAAACAAACGTCGGCTCATATACACACACTGAACACAAAAGGGGGGGTTGCAAATGGGGAGAGAATAAACGTGGAGAATTTCATTGTCAACGTAATAGATGATACAGTCAGGTTGCCCAGTCCTAGGCAAGAGCAGTCGAGATGCATAGGTTGGGTTCGAACTACGGACCATCTGTTCATCTGTAATTTCGTGCTTTAGCCGCTGAGCTGTCTTCAGCTCTGAGCCCCTGAACTTCACAGCTGATTTACTGCACCTCCATCTAGTGGGAAATTAGTCACTGCCATTAGTGAACCCCCTTTGTGTGGCTTCTACAGTGGTCCACATGTTGATATCGTCCAGACATTCATTGGTGCAAGTTGTTGGAAAGCGGATAAAGATGTGGGGGTTCATGCCCGTCCTCAGGTGCGTCTTTTTGTTTACGCATAGACTTCCCATCCCGTCCCTTTCCACCATATAACAGTTTTGGCTCTTCTGAACGAGCCGCTGTAATTGCACTATAGCGATAAAAAACAATCATTCAGCTGTAGCACCCTTTCGGTGCCTAGCTACTATGCCACACGAAGGAGGCTGGGATACTGCCGGGTTGCCCAATCCTAGACAGGAGAAGTCGACAGGCGGAGCGAGTCGGGGTCGGACCACAGACCTTCAGCCACAGACCTTCAGGTCAGTAAATTTGTGCTCTAACCACTTGGTCCATCTCGTCCCCGTACTATAACGATGCCCCGAATACAGTTCTCCTGGCCTAGAGGAAGGCTAGGCTTCCTCGGGTGAGTGACATTTGCAAGGTTTATGATGCCACAACTAAGAAGCATTGAACATGCAACCAGCCAATCGATGAAACCTACCTGGGCAGTTGAATATGTGTCGACTGACNTAGAGAAATCAATTCCCTACACAGAGTGCACCCTTGGTGGCGGTCAGCTCATCTGTCAAGAGTGTAATATACACTAGCAGTGCAATCCATACGGCTCTAAGAATCGGTGTTTTCGAAGCCTCTCTAGGATTCGGTTTGGGAATTCCAAGTAGTTCGTGAAAAGGAGTGAGTTATCGACGACAGAGGAACTAGTTGTAATCCATTAACTACGCTGATGGGGCCGCATACTTGGTGTGGCGGAATACCGTCCACCACAGTTCTTCACACGACTGAATAGTGCCCGATTTATTACTTTTCTGGAAGCCGTGAAAGCGTTGAACCGTAAACTCCTTAGTGTTCGAACCTACCGACACACTGGTTGGAAGGCTTGCTGACAATATGCAGCAATCGCCAATGGTTTAACTGAACTGAACTGCTCTACAGGATACAGTTCTGCTTTATCGTAATCTCACCGAGATTCGAAACTGCTTCAGGTGGTTCTTGCTCGTGGATCGCTTTCTGCATCCACTGGTTTGGGGATGGTGTGACTTGCTCTTCATAGCAAGCCGTCTATACATAACGTCATCCCGAAAACCACACTGGGGGGGGGGCGTTCGCATCAGCATTGCAATCTTCATATCCGCTGATCGAAACGTGGTCACATCCCCCTGACCGCATCACTATAGACTCACTATTCACCTTTTCATCATGTATTTTATCACGTCTAACATCTACTTCAGTCTCCTGTCAAAATACCGGATTACGTCCTAATCGATTATTTCCTGTGCCATCGCGCTGTTCTCATTGGTTAATCGTTTTCAACGCTGTGCTGTGGAATGAAATGAATTTAACTAGTGTGTTGGGTTATCATCATAGCACTGTTCTGCCTGTCAGTTAATCACGTTTCTCTTCGCCTGTGCTGACTACAACAGAGTCATGGGAGATTGTAAAACGATTACGATTTCCGCTTCACTTGGCGTTAAGTCAGCTGCATCATAGGAGGTACGGATCTAATTAAAACTATGCATGCCGACTCTCACGGTCTAGGATGCACACATGTGCATCGGTTGTTGTGCATTGCATTCCTTGATCGACTGTACTACCGGCTGACTGTGCACCTGTTGCTTCGATGCCTCATCACGTTCATGACGCGCACCCTACTCTGTGCGTCAGATTGCCACCGGCTACTCCACTATGCGCAACGGGAATCCGAACGCTATTTTTGGAATCATTTGATGAGTACCATGAAAAGACAGTTGAGCTACGGACCGCCACACTTTAACCAACGTTTATTCACGTTGGGACCTGCACAGATATTGACTTCTGACTAGAAAAGACATTGGTCGAAAAGACTAAAACAATTGCTCAAGGAAACACTGTATGAAGGTGCCTAAAACATTGGGTGGGTGCGGATACGGTTGTATGACGTGTTGTTGGACAAAACTGAGCCTCCCCCTCAGGTAGAACATAGGTGAGCTGTTTTTTTTTTGAGGTTTCATCAACTAAACAGCTCAGAAGCTCCAAGCGGAAGTCTTTGGCGTCTGACTACGATTCGAATCGGCCCAGCTGTAAGTGACTTATCAACAGTACGACTTAACGTTGCTCGTCCTTCAGTAATGCACGTGACGTCACGTGATTCGGCGTCGAATGGCCTTGCGATTAAAGAAAGGTTCATGTGGACTTGTTGGGGTGTTTTCATTCCCGGACATATTGCTCGTATTTTGTCAGCAGTAGTGGGCGGATTAGGGTTGCACTCTTCTTTCGAGCGACGGGCAATCGGTCAGCTTGCTAACCACCGGTTAAGACTTCGGGGCTTAGTCAGGATTTGTCAGCTGCCGGCTCTTTGCAATTTTTTTGGTGCGCCGTTTCGTTTTTGATGAAATTCAACAGTTCGGCAGTGACATCTGCTAATCGCCCTGGGGGAAGCATGTGGTTTAATACAAACCCATTTGGTCAGACCTAGACTATACACCGTATTCAGTAACCTTGGGATGAACTGCATTCTCTCGAACTCAACTCGGGATATTGCCATTGTGATACTTCTTTTGTTTGTGTTCTCTAATGGCGTCAAGAAGTTGAAAAGTTAACCAGCCTCTTATGATTAAGGTGGTGAATTATGACTGGCGAGAAGGCACGTTTTGTATAAGTGAAAAGTGTATTGTTCTCTGTCTGCCACACCTGCTTCGCCGTCGAAAGACATTCCCAACCCTCTTTTACCACCTGTCGATTTTCCTAAGCTACTTTGAGTTAAATTCCAACCACCTAACCGAAGTACATTGACCATTTCTACTGTCCGTCACTCAGGGGAACAGGTGTACAGTGTACTCTTATTGATTCGTTCGCTGTCCCCCCCCCCCCTGGCAGTTGTATCCGGTCGAATCGGCTAAATCTATTTATTCCCTACTTGTTTCAGATATATGGTCTTCGGGCTGTGTTCTGGCCGAATTGCTCTTAGGCCAGCCAATATTCCCTGGTGATAGCGGTGTGGATCAATTGGTGGAAATTATCAAAGTTCTTGGGACACCGACCCGCGATCAGATCCATGAGATGAATCCAGACTATCGGGATTTCCGATTCCCCCAAATCCGACCCCATCTGTGGTCTAAGGTGAGTAGTAGTTACCTTTCAGTTTAGGGGAACCACTCGGTAACCGTGTTTCGGGAACTTTTGGAGTCAGCTGACCTGAAATTCGGTCTACGAAGTATTATTTTCTAACGTCTCGGAATGCTTTCACTGTTTTGTGAAATTCACATTTCGGATAGATTGATTCCGTTAGGTGAAGGGAACCTAGCTACTATTAGTCATCCATACTCGCCTATCCAAGCGAGTGAAGTAGCTACATGACCAACATGTCTTTTTTTCATATTGGTATTGGGAACCCTGGACTCAACTGAACGGCAGACATGATTCAGTCGCGGAGTCAGTGGCGCACGTGTATCGAAGCTACCATCCTCAATGCGTAGCTACTCAGTTCCAGAACTAACTAATTATGCTATGGCCTGCAATGCTTGACTGAGGGTAAGATGGCCCAAGTGGTTAGCTCGCGAATTTACTGACCGGAAGGTCTGTGGCTCGAACCCGATCTCTGTCTCTCCCGTTCCTCTGTCTAGGCTTGGGCAACCTGGCAGTATCCGAGCCCTCGTGGTATAGGGGCTAGGCACCGGATGGGTGTTGCAGCTGGACGAAATGCTTGACTGTATCCACCACGCTCTACCAGTTTCCGGTGATCAAAGCTGTAGCGACTGGAACCAATGTACCCTTGGTACATGGTTTATAGCTGATAAGTTGAAAGTGAATTGTGAATTTTTATCCTATTGATCAAGAGAAGGCAAAACATCTCGGTGTATCGCAACAAACTAGATGGGTGTATCGTCACATCGGTGTTACCACTGGTGGTTCACTGGGTGGTGGGGTCCCGTGCTGGTGTGTTGCAAGCATTCTGAGGAACCCAACCTTCATACGCTCAGTCAAAGCATCCAGGATGAACACCACTGACTTTGCTTAGTCGTCGTTTCTTTTGGTGTCTCCAGCCAAGCACAAGGGGTAACGGTGATCCCACCCCGGTACGCACACCGCAGGTAGGAGCACATGTTCGTCGTTTCGGGGCGGATAACAACTGAGGAAGGAAGTAGTACGCGACAGGCCATGGATTCAAGTCAATCCAGT